AAATAAAAGAACTAGAGAGATGGCTCAGAAGTTAAGAGCACTGAGCACTGGCTGCTCTTCCAGAGGACTCAGATTCGACTACCAGCAAACACACAGTAACTAACAACTGTCTATAACTACCATTTCAGGGGACCTGACACCCTCTTCTGGTCTCCACAGGCACTAGGAACACAAGTAGTACACAAACATACATGCAGGCAAAACACACACACATAAAATAAATTTGATAATAACAGCATAGGGGGTGGGGAGACGGCTCAGCCATTAAGACCACTTGCTGCTCTTGCAGAGGACCAGAGTTCAGTTCCCAGCACAAACATGATGGTTTATAACCAGCCATAATTCCAGGTCCATGGGATCTACCCTTTCTCCTGATCTCTGGGAGTACTAGGTAGCATGTGCATGTGTGCCATACATACATTCATGCAGGCATACACGCATACACTTAAAATGTAAAATATGTTTTAAAAACATTTAAATGGTCAGGATAATAATAAAATCGATGTAAAGGAAAGAAAAGGGGGGCTAGAAGGACAAGAGGAAAAGAAAAAAATTAAAGATACAAATAAATGGAAAGACACCCATGTTCAGGTAGCATGGAAATTAGCATTGTTAAAATGTCCAGCCGGGTGGTGGTGGCACACGCCTTTAATCCCAGCACTCTGGAGGCACAGGCAAGCGGATCTCTGTGAGTTCAAGGCTAGCCTGGTCTCCAGAGCAGTGCCAGGATAGGCTCCAAAGCTACACAGAGAAACCCTGTCTTGAAACCCCCCAAAAAAGTCCATAGTACCCAAAGTAATCTACAAGTTCAATGTAATCATGAAAATTCTAGAAAAAAATCCTAAAATTCAAAACAGTCCTTCCTTAATAGATAAAACTGGAAGCATCAGACTTCTTAATTTCAAATTATATCACATGCCTAATAAAAAAAAGTCTGGTACCGGCATAGATCCACACATCTAGATCCACTTTGAACAAAATTGTCAAGAACCAACAATGAGGAAAAGACGTTGTCCTTGAAAAATGCTATTTCTTGCTCAAGAAACAAGCTGTTGGCCTGCATCTGCTCTCTAGTTGCCTAGCAAGACTTTCCCACACCCTTCAAGCCTCAGCTCCTCCATGAACCCCCTCCTTGCCAAATTAGGCCTTCCATATCCCAGGCTACGAAGACTCACTGCAGAAACCTCTGCTGTAGCAACAACCATATTAGTATTTTCACTGTAGACCAAGAGCTTCTTGGGGGAACAAAACTTGCCTTTTCATCTTTATATAACATGCCTAACTCGATGCTAGGAATATACTCACTGCTCAATAATTTTGTTGAAGAAAAATAAATAAAATTGGCCAAGTATATTAATAATATTTACAATGAAGACATGCCAAATCAAAATAACAATGGCATATCACATGACATGTTACAATGTATACTGTAAAAACAGCAAGAGAAGTCAGGCATAGTGGCATACCCATGGGATTGGAACAGAGGCAGAGGCAGAAGGATTCTTAGGAGTCTAAGACCAGCCTGGGCTATATCACTAGACCCTATGTCAAAACCAAGAATGAAAACAGATGGGAAAACGCAAGTTTTAGGGAGGATACAGAGAAAGAGGAGCTCTTTTACAAACTAAAATTTCTTATTTTAAAAATTTTGATGTGTTGGGGTCCACATGATTGCAGATGCCTGAGGAGGCCAGAAGAGGGCATCAGATCCCCTAGAGCAGGAGTAATCTGTTTCCCAATGGAAGTTCTAGGAATAAAACTCAGGACCCCTGGAAGAGTAGGAGCTCTTAACTGCTGGACCATTTTTCCAGCCCCAAAGGATCTCTTTGTTTTATTTATTTATTTATTTTGTTTTGTGTTTTTCGAGACAGGGTTTCTCTATGTAGTCCTGACTATCCTGGAACTCACTCTGTAAACCAGGCTGGCCTTGAACTCACAGAGATACACCTGACTCTGCCTCACAAGTGCTAGGATTAAAGGTGTGCACCACCACCACCCAGGCCAAGAGGATCTTTTATACACTATTAGTGGGAATGTAAATTAGTACTGCCATTACAGAAATATGGTAGTTGCCCCCAAATTAAAAATAGAGCTTTCATGAGATGACTCAATCCCTCTTGGATGGTATATGTCCAAAAGATATATCATCTCTAAGTTCAAAGCCAACTTGGGTTGCATGAGATCCTGTCTCAAAAAAGTAAAATAAACCAAAAAGGCACCTTAAACATGATTTTTATCAATTACACTTCAAATGCTGAAAAATACATTGCACTTTAAAAAGGAAATCACAGGCTGTGTACAGTAACACATGCGTGACTTTAATCTGAGCTCTCAGGAGGCAAAAATAGGCAGATTACTAGGAGTTTGAAACTAAAACAGGCCTAGTGAGTTCAGGCCAGCCAAGGCTACATAGGGAGACGCTGTCTCAAAAACCAGAAATTGTAAAAGAAATTTGCAAACAATATGTACAAACCTTAAAGATATTACACTAAGTGAGTAAAATAGGCAAGTCACCTAAGCACAAATATTGCATGACTCTGCATGTGTGAGGTTATAATTCAGATACACAGAAAAACTAGAATTGTAGTTGCAGGGAAGAAACACAGTATCATTAGAATAACAGGTGCAGAGTTCTGGGTATACGATATGAAAATAATTTTAAATTGACTGGTGGTAACTTTTTTTGGTTTTTCAAGACAGGGTTTCCCTGTGGCTTTGGAGACTGACCTAGAACTAGCTCTTGTAGACCAGGCTGGTCTTGAACTCACAGAGATCCGCCTGCCTCTGCCTCCCCAGTGCTGGCATTAAAGGCATGCACCACCAACACCCGGCTGGTGATAACTTTATAATAATGTGAATGTACAATGCCACTGAAATGTATACTTTAAATCATTAAGGCAGTAATTTTATGTCTATTTTACTACCACATTTAAAATAAATCTGCCAATAGGGTTTTTCTGAGCTTAATTATATTTGCTTCTATTTTTTTAAAAAAGTTTATAAAGAATGAAAATATAAGCCACATACTGGAAATTTTTCTTTACAAAGCAATATCTGATAATTTGTATCTAGCATTACATCTTCCAAATAATAAGACAAATACAAGACATACAAGGTGGGGTATGGTTAATGGTAGAGTACTTGTGTAGCATGCAAGAACACCCTTGCTTTGGTACTAAGCATTGCAAACAAGTGATCAAACAACAGATCTGAACACTTTGATATGAATGGGAAGTGAATAGATGAAAATAGGATCAAATCATTAGTTATTAGGAAACACATATCAAAACAATGAGATACTACTGAATACTTCAGCCAAGAGCCAGAGGACGCACGACTGAGTCTTTCACGTCCTGGTGGGAGGTGGTGCCACATTGGAAGTGATTTAGCAAAGAAAGACACATAGACAACTGAAATAGAATAAAGGATCCAGAAATAAACCCATGTACCTAATCTTTGACAAAGTTGTCAAAATACACATTGGAGAAAAGACAGCCTTTTCAAAATATGGTACTGATGATAGCCTGTAGAAGAATGAAACAAGATCCACCTCTCTCACCCTGCAGACATCAATTCAAAATAGATCAAAGACTTTAATGTTGGACCTGCACCTGAAACTGCTAAAGAAACACAGGGGAAACACTTAAGGTACAGGCATAGACAAGGACTTTCTGGAAAGGGGTCCTAGAGCACAGGAAATAACCTCCAAAATTGATAGACGGGACTGCACAAAATTAAAAGGTCTCTGCCCAGAAGAGGAAAAAGTATCAGCAGAGAGTCCACAGAATGAGTATCTTTGCCAAGAATACATCTGACAGTGCATTATCAGAGTCTCAAAAATTTAATGAAAATATTTTTAAAAGAAAAAGAACTGGCCAATAAATTTTTTAATGTTCATTATCCTTAACCATCAGGAGAAATGCCCCTTAAAAGTCTGCTTTGAAGCCAGGTGGTGGTGGCACACGCCTTTAATCCCAGCACTTGGGAGGTAAATGCATCTCTGTGAGTTCCAGGTCAGACTGCTCTACAGAGGGAGTTCCAGCCTATGTTGAGAAACCCTGTGTCAAAAACACAAAAACTCTGCTTTGAGAGACCACCTTACCCCAGTCAGAATGGCCATCATCAGGAAAACAAATGACAATAAATGCTGGTGAGAATGTAGGGAAAGAGAAACCCTGCTGGTAGGCTCAGAAACTGGTGTAGCCACTATGGAAAGCAGTATGGAGACTCCTCGAAGAGCTAAAAATTCAACTATTGAGACTGGAGAGGCAGCTCCATAGTTACAAAGACTTGCTGCTGTTCCAAAGGACCAGAGTTTGGTTCCTGGCACCAACTCCAAGAAATCTGAAGTTCCCTGACTTCCTCAGGCACCCACACACATGTGGCATTCACTCATACACATAATAAAACCTTAAAAAGTACAACTATCATTCAAACAGCTATACTAACTCTTGGATATATACCTGAAGGAATCCAATCAGCATAGCACAGGGGTAGCTGCACATCTATGTTCATTGCTATGTTGTTTACAATAGACAAGTTAAGGAACCAGCCTAGATGTTCATCAACAGATGATACTGTGTGTGTGTGTGTGTGTGTGTGTGTGTGTGTGTGTGTGTGTGTGTGTGTGTGTATCCAAATAAAAACCAAAGAATTTTAAAAGTAAACTTAAAATGTACATTAGAGCTCAAAAGATGGCTCAGCAGTTTAGAGCACTTGATGCTTTTGCAGAAGACCCAGGTTCAGTTCCCAGAACCCACACAATGGCTTACAACCAAGTGCCTATAATTCAGTTCCATGGGATCTGACACCTTTTTCTGGTTTCCGTGGGCACCAAGCCATGCATATGGTATACAGACATACATGCAGAATAAAATGTTTTAATGAACATTAAATGAACAAAGAAGTTTGGCAGTTTCTTAGAATGTTAATCATATGATTACCATATATTCTAGGTCCAAGTCCAGGTAGTAATGCCAAAGAAATGAAAACAGTCTCACTCAAGTTCTTATAGCAGCTTTATTCATAACTTCCTCCTCAACTGTAAAGGATGTCTTCCAACTTGGGATTGAATAAGCAGTAGTACATCCACACAATGAAGTATGAAATAGAAATTAGGACTATTGATACACCCAGTGATACAGATCTCAAATCTATAATTCACAGCAAGTTATTCTCAAAAGTTACATACTGTTCAATTCCACTTACAACTCTTTTCAAGAGACAAGGCAGAAAGTGAAAGCACACGTCAGTGATTGGCATGGGTTAGGTTGAGACAACTAGATTTGACATCACAGCAGATGGTGGGGGAGGCTAATAGAATCCTTCTGTTCTTGATACTCAACTTTATCCATTTATCAGGGCTTATAAACTGTATTTTACTCAAATATAAAGTTTCAAAGTACAAACCAAAAGCCTAATGGCATTAAGCAAGCTCCTGTGTGACTTATAATGTCCACAATAAGGAGCAGGAAAAAGATCAGTGCTTGCTAGGATATGAGGATAGGGACAGGGCTATATTATAAGGAGATATGGTAAGTTTGGGGAGAATGCCACAAAAAATTCTGTATACTTTTTTTCTGTTATTGTTTTGTTTGTTTTCCAAGACAAGGTTTCTCTGTATAACAGTTCTGGCTGTCCAGGAACTCACTTTGTAGACCAGGCTGGACTCAAACTCAGAGATCCACCTGCCTCTGCCTCCGGAGTGCTGGGATTAAAGGCATGCACCACCAAAGCCTGGCTAAAAATTCTGTATCTTGATAATGATCGAAGACTATGCCTGTTAACAAGTGTCCAAACTTAGAGAACTCAAATTTAAAAAGGATAAAATTGACTATAGAAAATTATTTTTTAAAAGGAGAATAAAGATCTAAGAAATTGCTTTAGGAATTAAGACCCAACCAGGCATGATGGCAAACTTCTGTAGTTCCAGCACTTGGGAAGCTAATCAAAAGGCTCAGGAGTTCAAGACTACCCTGGGCTACATGTGGAGACCCTTTGTGCATGCACACACACACTCCCTTAAGATACATTAGAGTTAGAGTATTATTAATATTTTGCTTTGAGACAGCCTCTTACTCTGCAGTCCAGGCTGGACTCAGATTCACAGCCATCTTCCTGCCTCAGCATCCTGAGTGCTGGGATTACTGGTGTGAGCGAATAACCTGGTTAGAGTCTGAAACTCTTATCATGACATGATTATTTTAGTTCTATTTTATTTTGGCTAGATTGTGTCCCTAAGGGTCTAGATGCTTTTATTTCTAATACATTATTATCTACCAAAACTTCAATGACATTAGTGAATTAAGTTGAACATCATTTAAGAGACTTGAAAAGCATAGTTTTCATAAAATACTACCAGTTTTTAAAGATGCATTTAGAAAGACTGACAACAGAAAACACCACAGGGTAGATGTCTGACCAGTGATCCAGTGTTGAGAAGATAATACATTACAAAACAAAAGGCTAGCATACGATTTTAATTACACTTGTCTTAAACCTAGCACAACACCATTTCACGTTGTTGTAAGCACTCTGTCAGCTTTTCCTGGTAGGGATGGAGGTATTGAAGGCTAAAGGACATAAACTGATTCTTGGAGTCTCATAGTTTGTGCTCAGCCAGTACCTAACTCTGTCTGAACATCCTGCAGCCAATGACTTTCAAACTTCCTATGATACATATACCCCATTCTAGAATCTTCAGCCCTCTTCCCTATCCCCAGACACTTCCAGAGATATAGAAGACTCCCCACTGTGGTTCTCTATTCCTACACTACCCAGATGAAGACCTACCTATTGGATTGGAAAATGCATAGCCAAGAGCCTTAAATGCCCAGACACTGAGGTCTTGTGGGGTGATAAAAACAAAAAGGATCACCTGTCCAAGGACAACCCCACCACCACTGCCACCAGGCTTCTCAGCAGTCTTTCCTTTAGAACATTCACCTGTCCAAGAGGTCAACCCTTATCAGCCTAACCCACAGGGTGGGACACAGGAATTAAGAGTACATTGCTTGCACTTGGGCTTGGCTTATTTGTATTTTTAACAATTACAATTTTATTTATTTACTTATTGGTTTTTCAGGACAGAGTTTCTCTGTGTAGCCCTGGACCAGGTTGGCCTAGAACTCAGAGATTTGCCTGTCTCTGCCTTCTACGTGCTTAGATTAACTTGTTTGTTTTGTTGAGAAAGGGTCTTGCCTGATAGTCCAGGTTGTCCCACAACTTGCAATCCTAATTCCAGGATTACAGGTATGTAGCTACCATGCTAAGACTCTACTGATATTTTATCTTATAAAACACTGTGGGAGCTGGAAGTGGTGGCAAAAGCCTGTAATCCCACTACTTGGGAAGCTGAGTAAGCAGAATCTTTCTCCAATGATAGTAATGGATGATGGTGATGATGATAATGATACAGCTTAGTAATAGAATGTTTGTCTAACATGTGTGAGGACCTATTAGGTTCAATCCTTGGCACCACAAAAACAAACAAAAAGTCATTTTCAAAGACAGTAAGAATTAAGTGGAGGGCATTGGGGTTTGGCAGCTCCAGACCTTTGAGACTCTGAACTGATGACAATGGAGGGCACCGTGCAGAAGATGCATTGTATGGGGGGTGTTCTAATATGTAGGTACATCAGGGAGAATCGAATGCCATCTGTATTCTCCCATCCCATGGGAATCAGTGTTTGCAGTATGAGGAGAAGATTGGTTGATCAGTCACCAGCAGTGTCGTCACAGTTGCCAGAGAGGTCGAGCATAGACATCATGGAGTCAGACAACTTATTGGCAAGTTTATCTGTAGATGGAAAAATATAGGCAAGGTCTGTCATAGACAGCTTATCACTAGCTTGGCCTATACCAACCTTCCAACTGGCTTAGTTACCCGTCTAATCATTCAACAAAACTGATGGGCCATTAAAACTGTCATTCAACCACACAGGTACAATTATTCACTGTGAAGTGATCACCCCAACATAGTTTCATCTCAGGGTTTCAGACTCACAGTCTATTTTTGTGTCTAAGTACCAAAATAGTAACTTCTTTCTACTGTGTGAACTTAGCACTCCTCCATTACCCCTAGCCACCCCCAAACAAGCATCCACAGCAAAGGAGTGCGCAGTAATGCTGGCTTTGAGCCTGAATGCTCAACACTCACAGCTCTCATCCTCCAGATACACTTTTTCCTCAGGCTTCCTCCAGGAAGCCTCTGCTGATTGCCCATCTCCAGGCTGAGCTAAGCTCCCTCAGAGTGCTGGCGGTATGTGCCCTCAGAGTGATCTGTGATACGGTCCAGTGTCTGTTTTGTCTTCTCTCTACTCCCTAACAAGACTTGGACTTTAAGGGTAATCCATCTGTGGGTTCCCGGGACTCAGTGTAGAGCCAGAAAAAGATAGCCATAAAATACGTCCAAGTTAAAAAGAATAGACATCACGAAGTCAATCAACCCTACCTACATTTCTATTTTGTTGGGATTTTGTTTTGTTTTGTTTTGTTTAGAGACGGGGTTTCTGTGTGTTAACAGCTCTGACTGTCTTGGAACTCACTCTGTAGACCAGGCTGGCCTTGAACTCACTAAGATCTGCCTGCCTCTGTGAGCTACCACCAGCTGGCTACCACAGATACCAAAGAGTGATCATACATACCTTTGTTAATTCACTGAAAAACTGTTTTCTCTCTCAGCATCCACAGGAGATAACAAACCCTCAGCTTTACTAAAAATGATGTAGTATCTTCACATAACTTGCACACGTCCCCCTGCATGCAGAAACTTCTTCTATCCATTCCAATACAAATACTATGAAACAGCTGCTATTCTGTGTTGTTCAATAGTGACAAGAAACATAGCCTGCACCTATTTTAACTTTAAAATTTTATTTAGCCAGGCATAGTGGCATATTCTCCTAGAAACCTGAACGAGTCAGATGCACAAAGGATCACCATTTATACAAAGAGAATAAAGAATAAATTCTTTTGTGTCCTGATGCAGAGATATTCCTAAGACACAGAGTGGAGAAATTGTGAAGCAAAAATTATATGCTCAGTGACAAGCATCGGTGTGGAAAAGAAAACACACAATGGAAGACTTCTGCATACATCTCTCTTAAGAAGGGCAAGAAATTAGCCAAGCAGTGGTGGCATACGCCTTCGATCCCAGCACTCAGGAGGCAGAGGCAGATGGATCTCTGTGAGTTCAAAGCCAGCCTTGTATCCTCTGGGGTTTCAGATGTACTTCCTACTGATGCAGTACAAATGATAATACACATTCTACCTAACTCACAGAAAACACCCAAGAAATGTGGGACATGATTCACGGCAAGGTCAGTGGTCCTAAGAGTATGAACCGCAGAACTCTGCTTTAATAAACCCTCCAGATAACATCAATGCAAGTTAGATTTTTTCGAGATAGGGTTTCTCTGTGTACATTTGGAGCCTGTCCTGGCACTCACTCTGTAAACCAGACTGGCCTCAAACTCACAGAGATCTGTCTGTCCCTGCCTCCCAAGTGCTGGAATTAAAGGTGTGCACCTCCACCACCCATCTGCAAGTTAGAATTTTGAGACCCACTTGCCAATCCGTGTTTCCTAACCCCATCCCTCCAAGAGTTCTGTGGAGGTAAACACATGTGGAGATGCATATCCAAGAAGACTCGAATCCTGGCCCCAGCCAGGCATTTTCAGAGCACAGGAATGGTCAGGTACCCCTACCTGAACGCTTCTGCAATTTTTTCTTATTCTTCAAGGCAGATGCCAAAGCCTGGCCTTGTTGAAGTGGGTCTGTCTCCAGGATCCTCTGCAACATTGGGCGGCGGTCCACTGAACTGCCATCCACTGTACGATTGTTTTGGGGGCAATGGTGGTCCACATTGCGTTTAGCCCACCCCATCTGTTGACGGTTTGGATTGGTACAATACCCAGTGAGGTTTCCAATCTGGGGAGAAAAAGAATAATGATGGGGTCTTTATCTCCAAACACTCCTACAGAGAAACCAAGAATAGGATTGAGTCAGAAGGAATCTGGAGCCAGTTATGGCTCCACCATATCCTAACTGGTGCTTACTTAGCCTATGAGACTCAACTGCATCTGTCAAACAGGGATGAGCACTGGAGTTTGCAAGGCTTTTGCAAGAATATGAAAAAGGAAAGGAAGCAATAGTATCTTACACCAATAATCTAGCAGTCAAAAGGCTGAGGCAGGATTCCTATAAGCATAAAGTCAGTATGGACTACATGCTTGAGTTGTCGGTTAGCTAGGCCACAGAGTAAGATTTAGGCTCAAAAAAACCCAAAAAAGTAGTAACTTCATTAGTGACAATTCACATGATAACAATCCCTTGTTGAAATAACCCTTCAGGCCTTACTCAGCTAGCATTTTTTTTCTAAGACAGGGTTTCTCTGTGTAGCTCTGGCTGTCCTGGAACTCACTCTGTAGCCCAGGGTGGCCTGGCCTTGAACTCACAGAGATCTGCCTGCCTTTGCCTCCCAAGTGCTGGGATTAAAAGCATGTGCCACCACGGCCCAGCTACAGCTAGTATTTTTAATACCTACTTCATGCCCAGCTATGTGGAGCCATCCTGGGAACAAATAAATATAAGTCAGATTGGTTCCACCTTCAGTAAGTAATCAAGCTAAATCTACCTCAGAGCATGTTGTGTGCACATGGGGTAGGGTATCTATGTGGCAGGTACAGTACAGGTGAGCAGTAAAAGCAAATTATTAACAGATCATTTCCTATGTATATGTACCACGGACTAATCTAACACACAAATACATACCTACCTAAGGAAATATGTACTCACACAAATATGGTTCAGGCAACAATGGGCCACATATGATGTGGTACACTCCAGGGTATTTCCATACTGAAAATCCTATCAAGGTAGGCATGGTAGCATACTCATAATCTCAGCACTCAGGAGGTAGAGGTAGGGAGAACAGGCATTCAAAGCCAATCTCAGTGACAGTGAGTTTAAATGTAGCCAGGCTCCGTAAGACTGTCTGAACTACCCTAAAACACTGTACTCCTTAGAACATAGCCTCACTGTTAAGCAGCACTATGTGACTTCATTAACTCCTTTTGTGTGCATTAATTTAATTCCTTTAAGAATGCATAGGAAGTGCATTTAATCCCTTAAATTAATTTCCCTGCCTTATAATAGGGAAAAGGTAAGATGGGGTGGGTTTGAGCAAAGTTACTAAGGTTAGTGACAGCAATGCCATCCATTCAGTATACTGTATGCCTAAACAGTATTTCTTGGGAGTTGGGTAACAAGGTGGCCTGTTGAGAGCTCTGGATTGAGTCTGGAATTTGTAGTACAAAAATGGAGGACTACTGTCAGTTTCTAAGAAATACACTATGTCCAGGGGCTTATGGCTCAGTGGGAAATATTACTTGGGAAGGTAGCCTTAAACAGACAAGTTTATAGATTTTTTTCATTAGGCAATGGAAAACTTCTAGTACCATGTGAAGATGGGAACAGTGTGATTCCTGCCATTGCACAATTTCAGACCTTACTTTCTACTACATATTGATTAAAGTGGACTTTCCTCCCTGGCTAACCTGAACACCTTTCTTTCTGAATGACTATTCTCATTAGCATGGCAGCAAGACAATTTTGTTAGTAAATCTTTCCAGATATTCATCACCATGAAAAATAAAGGACAGCTCTTGGGGGGCTGGAGAGATGGCTCAGAGGTTAAGAGCATTGACTGCTCTTCCAGAGGACCCAGGTTCAATTCCCAGCAACCACATGGTGGCTCACAACCACCTTGAATGAGTTCTGTTGTCCTCTTATGGTGTGCAGATATACATGGAAGCAGAATGTTGTATACATAATAATAAATAAAATCTTTGAAAAAAAATAAAAAAAATAAAGGACAGCTCTTGAAGTAATCATGTGACACAATCCTAAACAAATTTGTAAATGAAATAAACATAGAACAATAGGAAAAGCATCCTCTATTTTAATTAACATGGTTACTTAGACCTGCATGTGGCTCACTGGTAAAGGGCTTACCCAGCATATATGCCTTTGCCCAGAAAACTCAGCCTTCAAGATGCAGCTTAAAGGTTCCCTGACCAACTAACTAGTAGTATGGTTTAGGACCCTTAGATACAGGCTGTTGTCTTATTATTGCCTGCCCCAATCACTCCTCCTATGTGTCTGAAATGAAAACTCTGGAGGAACAGAGATGGGGTGACTGGAAGAAAAAGAACCTGGGAAAACACCCAGAGTCATATGATACAGTGAAGATCTTGTATATCAAGCCATGGAAAAGTGTTTAAGCAGGGAAAGTGACGGGGCCAGTCTAGGCTATTAGGAACCACAGAATAGCCAGGCAGGATGATGCACACCTGTAATCTCAGCATTGGGCAATTGGATGTCAGGAGGATCAGGTGTTCAAAGCCAGCCTTAGCAACATGAGAGCCTGTCTCAAACAGCAATAAAAGAAACCATGAAGTATATATCCGGGTAAGTTGAGGACTAGAAATACACTCTAGGATTACAGGAATCACAGAGATGAGACATTTTGACCACATCTCAAGAAATAAGGCGAGGAATAGCTAAGGGATTTGGCTATTTGACTAACAGTGTATGGGAAAACTGCTTGAAAGAGCTCCTTAGACAAGTCACTATCTGGCAGAGCACACACCAAGCCAAGCATCCACAAGTCCACAGGAAGTGTGTGAGTCACTCAGACCTCACTACCCTAGGAGAGATATGTAGAAGGAACTGACTGCTTCCCAGAACCCTGTGCAGGAGATAGCTGCCATGAGGATGTTAAGAGGTACCTTATATACGGTGGTTTTATTTTCAATGGCATCTGCTATTTTCACCAGCGGAGAATGGAGCCACTTGGCATCCATTTCTTGTGGGTCCATGTCACCCAACAGCTCATCGGATTCTCCCACGGCCAAGCCTTTAACACAAACACCACTGTTAGGATCCTGGCTTGCTCCTGCTGCCAGCCCTCTGATCAGGCCTCAACAGAAAGGACATGAGGGTCCCACCAAGGGAGTGTGGGGGGGTGGGTGAGGTTGTTTCTGCTAAGAGGTTACATAACAAAGATTTAAAAGCTTGAATACTAATCCAGGTGGGGCATACCTGTAATCCCATCACTTGGGAGGGTAAAACAGGAGGATCATAAATTCAAGGCCAGCCTGAGCTATTTGTCGACAGCCTATCTCTCAAAATAAAAACAAAACAAAAGCATGCATATTATAGGACAATTGTCTACTGGGAGTTAGCCTTAAAGCTTCAGCTTCCTCATGTGAGAAAATGGAATTCCACAACTCTTATTTATAGGATTAAGGTAAAACCCAGCAGAGGGCACCTACTGTACTGTGGCTCAAATGTGATGAAAGGGTGCCATAAGGATTCCCTTCCTAGGACCAGGCCTCTCTCCTCCCCATTCCTGCCCCCTACCTGGTACTGGCCTCCACCAAAACCCTCATACGTGCCTACTGCTTTGTGCCACCCTACCCTCGTATCTACTTCTACCGCTTTATCCCACCCACTCACTGAAGGCCCTAATTCCTGCTAACTCTTCAAGGTCCAACACTAAGACCAACTCCTCCAAATGTTTTTTTTTTTTTTAGCCCTAACCTCTTCCCCACCCTCATCTCAACTCCCTTTACAAACCCAGCCAGGGTCAAGCATCTTCATTAGAGCACGAGTTCAAATCCCTCTCAATTGCCCACCTGACAGAATCTAGCAAGAGGGCTGACTTGCTAGAAGTCATACGTGGAATAAACTAGAAAGTGGGCAAGTCTTCTTGTCCTCATTTGTAATTGAGGACTTTAGAGAACCCAGAGAAGGAAATGACTGGCCTTTAAGAGAAACAGAAACAAGACGTTAAGCCAAACAGAGTTTTCTCAACTGTTCCCAAGAGAGCCCTGGGCAGAGTAGAGGAGGAAGTACGAAGCACAGGCCAGGGCTACAAATAGTATCTAAGAGCAGAAACCTACTCACCAGTTTGGAAAGTCAGACCTCCATATACCCCAGAGAGCATCCACAGAGCATGATTTACTATACGCCAGGCTCTACTGCTCTATACCTTTTACTCCTTTTTGGGTGTTGAGGGTCAAACCAGGGTATTATGAGTGCTAAGCATGAGCTGTACCACTGACCTATACCTCTGGTCCTCTTGTACAAATGAAGTAATTCTACACAATACTCTAATGGAACGGGTGCTACTGTTCTTATTTCACTGAGACGGAGTGAAATGAACAGCCAGTTCAGTATCACACAGCTAATGAGGAACAAAACTACATTTATTCAAATTGGCAGCCCATACTTATAACCACCTCACTCTGAGGGATTTAAGACAATAGAACAGGAAAGCTGGGCCAAGGTCAGTATTGCCTACCATTGTTATGTGCCTTTGGATCTCAGAGCTCACCTACTTCTGCTTCTCAAGTATCGAGATTAAAGGCATGTTCTACCACACCCAGCAAATATCCTTTTTAACTCAGATATCTCATTAGCCAATAGAGATAAGAAAATCTAAAAAATCTAAGAATGCTGAGCAGATCCTAGGGCAGCCAGGTATAGTGGCATATATCAGTACTCAGGAACGTGATGGGACAGAATTACCTAAAGTTCAAAGCCAGCCTAGGCTATACAGTGAGCACCACATCAGTCAAGGGGATATAGTAAAATCCTATCTAAAAAGCCTAGGGCAACAGGAAGGAGAGGGATAGGGAGAAGGACCATGGCCCTTTGATTTGGCTGGGATTATGGAAACATACAGAACCAAGAAAGAATTTCGGTGCCTTTAATCTAGCACTCAGGAAGGAGATAGAGGTAGTCAGATATCTGAGTTCACTGCCAACCTGATTTACATAATGAGTTACAAGCCAGCCAAGGGAGACGCTGTCTCAAAAACACATCCCCACTCATCACACCCCCCACACATACACACAAAGCGCTTTTTTTGTTGTTGTTTTGTTTTTTGAGACAGGGTTTTGTCTGTATTGGTGTGGAGGCTGTCCTGGAACTAGCTCTTGTAGAGCAAGCTGGCCTCGAACTCACAGAGATCTCCCTGCCTCTGCCTCCTGAGTACTGGGATTAAAGGCATGGGCCACCACCACCCAGCTTCACAAAACGCTTTTTAAAGGGATACTTAAACCCAAAAGAAAGAAATGGAGTCTCATTTCCAAAGACCCTAAAGGAGTACCAGCAGTTAGTCAGGCAATTTACCAAATGTTCACCACCACTCTACCTTCATGGCCCAAACCAGAATGCTCTACCTTGCAGGTCGATGAATAAAATTTAATACCAACCCCCAAGTAGCCCCCAGAAAGGAGAGATCAAATGTGTGATCTGACATCCAGTCTGGGCTTTGTTAGAACAAAACCAGTTGCCCCAACCATCCATGCTTACATTCCATGGTGTCTTCGTTGGCCTGCTCAGTATCTTCAATATCAAAGACCTCAGTCATCTCCTTAACAATCTCAGCACTGAGATGCGTGGGCAGAGTGTGAGTAGGTGGTGGTGGTATATAGAAGCTGATCTTCCCACTGAATTGGGAGAGAAGGGAAGGTCAGTGGTGATGTCACTGAGAACAAATAACCTATCAAAGGAGGACGTAGGACAAGAAAATCCAGACAATGGCTTTCTGAACAACATTTTCAGCTATTCAATAACCACTAGGCAGACAGTACTGAGAAAGGCATGACTAGTTCTTTGGCTGCTCCCTACCTTGGGACCCAGGAAGTCAAGCTGTCCTGCTGTACTCAATGAACACTACCTCCTACTCAACTCCTTCCTCACCTCACCCAGTCAGCCAGGACAGCTTTGGCAGCCTGCTCTCGACTATATACACCTCCCTTCTTCTTCTTTCCCAAGCGGTGGGCCACTGCAGTCAAAAAGTGCTCAGTAGTCTGGAATCCAGAGACTCCATAATAGTTGGAAATCTGACAAAAATGAAGGAGAAAAGTCATGAGAAAAATGAAGGACCTTTGTAGCAGTGGGACAGGGAATCCACTGCGGACCCTGCTATACCTCCTCTAGGTTGCAGCGCTGAAGGATGGTCTCCACCGGGGTCACAGGGTCTGCCAGCTTCTGCACATGGACGCAATTACGCAGGATGGTGCCCACCTCTGAATTGGGTCCTGGGACAATGCCTGGAGCATCCAGGAGCCTGATGAACTTGTCTAAGTAGACCTCCTGCATGAATCTGGAGAAAGGAAAACAAGGCCCAGCTGCACCTGACATCTAGTCACAAATGTTGGGTCTGGAGAGGTTGGAGGGAGGTGAAAGAACAGAGGGGAAGGTGTATCTTAGGTGAAGTGGTGAGGGTGGGGGGTCTGAGGTGCTGTAGACCCAGTCTCTTTCACTGGGGTCTTAGCCGCAGGATCTCAGGCACCTTTCTGACTCTCTGGGTCTCAGTTGCTTCATGTAAGCCACAGAGCTATTTGCAGTTGTTATGAAGGACCCAGCAGCCCACACCTGGGAGGGGCCAGGTAAATGTGGGCTATTAGTAGGGTTTCTAAACCCAGGGCATGAATGAGAGGACGGCCCGCAGTTAGCAAAGGGAGGGGCTGAAAGCATGTGAGCTTTGCTGGAACGGTAATGTCAACAGTTTGTGAAGCAGGGAAGTGGGCAGCTCTTACTTTGTGACACCAGGAACAGCTCCCACGCTACACGCACGGCTGCGCTTCAGGCTGTTGATCAGACTGCTCTTCCCCACATTGGGAAGGCCTGCAAAGAAAGACGAGCACAATACTCAGGCAGGAAGTGGTCACAGGAATCCAGGCCAGCCTGCTTAAGAAAGGGCTAGGCAGAGCAGAGGCAGTAACCAAGTCATGGATAAAACAAAGGTAGAGCCTAGCCTCCTGTCTACCCACCTTAGACCCCGGCCAGGCCTCTACAGAGTCTTTCTAGGCCTCTCCTCCTTTTCTCAGCATTCTCAGCATACAGGGCCCTCTCTAGATGTGCAGTCCACCTCCCACCACAACCAGCCTGGAGAGGCGCTCCATATAAGGCCTCACAGACATGACCCAGCAGGAGGTGGGGTCAAGCGTTGAAACAGGCCCACCTGTTCTGACATGGAATTCCCCTGGGGAGAAGTGACTACTCTCCAGATGCCCCTCTCTACCCAGCTGTCTTTGCCTATGGAATCTTTGTATTTGAGCACCTGTGCCCCACTCTCAGTCTGGGGCTGTCTTTGTGAGTTTCTCTCTCCCTGGATGTCATTCTTACCACCCTCTATGTGTACGGAAGTTTAACTAGTATGTACTACTCTCTCACATGTGTGCCTGGGGAACTCTGTGGCACTTTGTTGGAAGTCTATACACCTGTGTGACTCTTGGTCATTTTCATTTCCAAGGTGACTGCTCTTCCCTTTCACTGGACCTCTCACTGAATCGCTCTCACAGCTGTGTCATGCATCTACAAAGCTGTGTCTCATTCTGGATGCTATCATTTCCGACTCCCTCCTCCCACCAGTTCCACTTCTGATGGCATGGTTACTATGTTCCTTCTTTCTGCAGTTTGTCTACAGAAATGTGCCCATTCATGTTTCACTATGGCCTTGGTTTTTCTTTGTGTGCCTCCCTAACTATGTCTTTAATTCTCTCTATACAAACATTCCTGTCTCATCACAGGCATGTCTGCTTGTTTCTCCATGATTCTAGGTTACAGTGTATCTGGGCGCACACGGTGTTCCTGTGGCTTTGTTTGCTCTGAGGAAAGAGATAGTGTGAGTGTGGACGAGCTCAAGTCTGCACATCTTGCCTTGAGTCTGTCTATCTGCCTGCAGAAATGTCCCTTCCAGGCCTGTACGTGACTCCATGCATAGGAATTTACATGTTCCTGAGAATCTGTATGCGTGTGGAGGCCTATGTCCCTCTGTATCAACATTTACCTCTTTCTTTCAAACTGTCTACATTCCTGTAATATTCTTTTTTTGAATACGCATATCTACACAAGTACATATCCCAAGTGTCTGTTCTTTACCATCCCTTCTACAGGTCCCTGTACACACTCTGTTTCCTGTTATTTTTAACACTGGGGACTGAACCCAGGGTCTCATACATACTAGGGAAGCCTTCCACCACCGAGTAACACTTTCAGCTTCTTTTATTATTTTTTTTTTATGAATCTCACTCAGTTATCTAAGGCTGGCCTTGAACTCAAACTTTCCAACTTCCAAAGCAGTTAGCATGACAAGTCTGGGTCACCAGGTCTGTCCATGTAATTATTTTTAATGTCCCTTTTGGCATTTCTTTGGGGTCATATATCCTTCACTCTCTTTATGACTGTCACCTAAATTTGTCTTTCTCATTACCCATAAACGTTGCATTCTGGCCTCCCTGGTTTTTTTGTCTTCCTGTCTATTCAAGTGTGTGGTGTATAGCTACACACTCTCTGTCCAGTTCTCTTCAGTATTTCAAGCTGAGACACTTTCCCTTCTGGTGATCTTTCCCTGCCTCTTCCCCTTTCATCCCCTTCTACAGTACTCTGGGCTTCAAAAAGACCCACCTCAGCCCTGCCTTGTTTCCTTTCGTGGGTCTCAGTGTTGTCATTTGTAAGAGGTGGGTGCATCACACTTCCCTCCCATAGCTCTGACAGCCTCTAGTGTTTGACATCATATTTGGTTCTAATGGTTGTGAATCTGAATATGCCTTCCCATGCCCACCAGCCAAACTGCAAATTGCACAACCACTCCTAAAGCCCAATCTCCCCCGCCCAAACAAAACAAAATTCCAAACCCCTTCCCTCCTTCCTTCCCCAAGGACCCTGCTTATTTGCACAGCCTTACCTACGACGCCCACACGAATGTGGGTACGCACTTCCCCTAGGCGGCAATAATTCCCCAGGACCCTCATGAGGTTTTCAGCTCCAAAACAGGCTTTGCTTTTCAACAGATTCTCAGAAGCCTGGTCTACCGGAACTTTACACCGAGTCTGAAAATGAGGTATATTACAAAATGAGCATCAGGTGGGAGATACACTCTAAGGCCAAATTTCTAACCCGCAGTGGAATATTCAGAACCGCCCTGGGTTCACTAATCTCATAGGCTTCTCACAGCAACTACATCTCAGTTCTGCCTTGTTTCCAGTTGTTGTGCCTTTCTGTTTGTTTGTTTTTCGAGACAGGGTTTCTCTGTGTAACAGCTCTGGCTGTCCTGGAACTCACTCTGTAGACCACGCTGGCCTCAAACTCAGAGATCTTCCTGCCTCTGCCTCTGCCTCTGCCTCCCAAGTACTGGGATTAAGTTGTGTCTTTATGTCTACAATTTTCTCTGTTCCTTCTCTTGCCTCAACAACACACATGAGTTTTGCCTCCCACAACAGAAACATGAAGACAACCCAGCTTCAGGCAAGCTAGGTTTCATTTCTAGCTCTCTCACTCCCAGGACTATGAAGAAAAGCCTCTCTCTCTTCCTAGGGCCTTAGTGTCTCATATGCACAAAAGGGAAGCCTGACTTCTCCACCTGTGCAGAGGGTACCTGGCCCAAAGCTGGCTGCTCACACAGGAGAAGGCCATCCCAAGCTCCCTACTTTTATTTTTGATGTGTGTGTAGGGGGGACCACAAAATTATAAGTTAACCATATTATGTTGGCAAGAGTATAGGGAAAAAGGTCCTCTTCACACATCCAGCTACCCAAGTGGGAGGAAGATTACTTGGCAGAGCTATTGTAGAGGATAATTTGTCCATGTCTAAGAAAATATAGAAAGCATAAGGCTTATGTATGACACAGCCACACTATTACTCAGTACTCAGCCCACACCAATATTTGTCTACATGCCAAGGAGAGAAGTATAAGTGGATTAACATAAGCACTGCCTAAATAATAATAAAAACTGGAAAATAGGGACTCAGAGATAGTGTCTACATAGGCAAGATGCTCTGGGTTCCATTCTCAGAACTGCAAAAAAGAACAAAACAAAACTGAAAAACCTGTCCCCCAGAACCCAATTTATCTCCCCCAAAACAATTAATGTTACTCTAACATCTCAGTATTTTACAGGTATTCTATATTGATACCAATAGGAAATATTATGCCTTCTTTGGGTTTCTTTTTTTTTTGGTTTTTGGAGACAGGGTTTCTCTGTGTAGCTTTGGAGCCTATCCTTGCACTCTCTCTGGAGACCAGGCTGGCTTCAAACTCACAGAGATTCGCCTGCGTCTGCCTCTCGAGTGCTGGTATTAAAGGCATACGCCACCAACGCCCGGCCCTATGGGTTTCTTTTTAAACATTATTTATTTACTAAAGTCATGGTGTTGGCACATGCATTTAATGCCAGCACTCAGGATATGCAGGAGGATCTCTGAGTTTGAGGCCAACCTTGTCTACAGAGTGAATTGGAGGATAGCCAATAAATATTCATTTATTTTTATGTGTATAAGTGTTTTGTTTGTATGTATGTCTGTGTACCATATCTGGAGAGGTCAGAAGAAAGTATCAAATCCCCCTGGAACTGGAGTTATAGATGGCCGCCATGTAGGTGCTGGGTACTGAACCTGGGTCCTCTGGAAGCAAATGCTCTTAACCACTGAGCCTACTATGCCTTGTTTTAAAGAGGGGGAAATGTTTTGAAGAGCTAAAAAGTAGTTAACTCCATTTCCCATATCTCCTATAGACAGTATATATTATTATATCCTCACAGCCAAAAAAGCATGCTTTCTGAAGGGCAATGATATAGGAAGAAGTAAAGGAAAATAAAAATTAACAAGTCACCCACTAGAGAAAATACCTCAAAGTGGAAAGCCCAATTCAAATCGTAAGACCTACAACCTTAACCCCAAACCACAATGAAAGAGGCTAGATACTCCTACTTCAAGCTTACCAAGTTTTTGACCTGATGCTGGGTGCTGGCCTTGAAAGCCACAGTTGGCAGCTCATTGCGAAGGTAATCCAGCCATTTTTCCACAATCTCCTTGGGAACCAGGTCTGGGAAAAACAGAAACAGATGGGACTTGTAAGAACATTACTTCTGTGGCTTCCCCTAAGCCATATACCCATGTCTAGGCCTACCTCCTACTAACAGATCGCTCCTCTTGCCCTAACTGTCCCTGCATGCTCCCCAGAATGGAGTCATAGAGAACAATCTGATCCACAGGACCAGTTGGCCCTCCCTGAGAAGGCTTACCCTCTTGAAGAAAATATGTAAAGAAGTAGTTTTGTCCCAGACATCCCCCTTACAAGTCAATGTGCCCAAATACCTTATTCCCTTTCCTAATCATTCTAGGCTGGGCTAAGTGTCAAGAAAAAAAATCACCAAGAACAGTTATGATTTGTCAAATGTTGATTTGCACCAAGCTCTTCAGTAATTCTCACAATAAAGCTGTGAGACTGAGATGCCGTGCCCCTATTTACTATGAGAGAAATAGAAGTTGTCATGAGCAACATGATCTATCTGCTATCAAGAAGAAAATACCAAAGTACGATAAGACTAATACCTCAGTGAGTCCCAAGCCATGTGCTCTCTCTTGTCCAAATCTTTGTGTTCCGGTTTGTGGGGACAGGTCTCCAAGAATGACCAGCCACAGAACTGGCTCAAAATTGCAAGGAAAGGGGGCTGAAAGGCAAACAGGCTCAGACTCTACCCCCAAGCCATGCTACATTCTTTATGTGTCTGTGTGTGTACCAGACAATATTTCTGGCTTTGGGAATTTGAACAAGAATTCCTATCAATAGCAATTATGAATGCCGCTGATAGGTCTCAGTGCCTAATCTAAGCTAGCCTTAGCTTACCCTATTCCCTGCCTTACCCAATCCTTCCAAAACCTACCAATCTTATTCAAGACCAAGACCAGCTTCTTGTTGCCTTCTGCCCGAAGGACAGTCTCCTCCATCTGGAAACAGCGGCAGCCCAATGGGTCTCTAGCATCCAGGACTTCCAGAATCACATCAGAGTACTCTACCACCTGCAGGACAGAAAATACAGAGCAAGAAGCCTGAGAACAGACTGGGTAGTAGTCTCTGTTTCAGTCAGCAATAAACAGAAATGAAGAAATGAAAATGCACTGGGGTCCTCACCAAAGGGCTTTAAGAAACGGGTACCTGTTATGTATCTCAAGTCTATAATCCCAACACTTGTGATGAGACAAGAGGACTGCAAATAGTTCACGGCCAGCTTGGGATGCACACAGTGGATTCTAGGTTAGCCTAGACTAAAGAATAAGACCTTCTCTAAAAACAAAACAAACGAAGATAAAGGGAAGAAATGAATCCTACCTTACGGAACTCCTTGTAATAGGCCTTCCGTGTGGCCTCATCATCCAACTGAGGAAACATATTCAATTCCTGCAAAACTTCCTCCTAGAGGAGGAGAAAAAAGAGAGTAATAGTTTAGAGGAGAAAGGGGCAAGCAGATGCAAAAAAAGGATGGAAAAGAAAGAAGGGGAGATAAGGAAGGAGGAAAGATACACCAGCACCAACAAGGCTTTTGAAAAAAACACAGGAAGCTGGAGAATACACGTGAGTCCCAGACTACCTAAAAGTAGCATTGAATGAGCCAACATGATGGCTCAGCCACTAAAAGCACTTGCTATGAAGTCTGCTGATCTGAATTCAATTCCTGGAACTGACTCTATAAAGGTGTTCAGTGACCTCCATATACATTCTCTCTGAATATTCATTCTCTCTCATATGCATTTGAGCACCAGCCAAAAACCTGCTTGATCACAAGTGTGTGTAAAAGGCAGGATAAAAGATGAAGGTGTGAAAAAAATCATCTCCGAGGCAAATGGGACCAGGAAACAAAGCCTTTACTGGAAGTCAGTGAGGGCAACAGAGCTGCAAGTGCACATTATGTTTGTGAGACAACAAATGCCACAAAGGGAAAATGACATCCACAAGGATGGTTAGATACTCTGCACCCATTCCTCTGTCTCTTGGTCTTCCCTTCCTATGTTCCCTCTTGCCACATTCCCCAGTCATACCTCTCTTGGTCCCTAGTCCCACTGCCATTCCATGTTTAGGTTCAAGCTTGGGAGAGGAATTCGCCAAAGATGTGTGGTCATGGGCATGCTACAAAACAGCCCCCCTTTCTCCCTTATTTTTACCTCTCTCTCCCAATTGCTTTCCTTCTCTGTACTCGTCCCTTTCCTCTACTGACCGTATACTCTCTCTTTCTTTTCCTCTTTTTTTCCTTGAGACAAGGTCTCACTTTATAACCACTTACAGCAAAACAGCGATCCACTCCAATCCCACCAAGCAGCAAGAGCTGCTCTCTTACCTTGTGTTCAAACTCCTCCTGGCGTTTCAGGACATCCTGACAATAGCTCTCAATGGTCCTGTGTCTTTGTCTCTCTTGCTCCCGGGCAACCTGCTGCTTCTCCCTCATCTCCTCAACCTAACAAACAAACACACACTGTGATTGGAGCTGAGTAGGTCTGCGATCCACAGGAGGGAAGGAGTGGAGATACAGGAAAAGGACAGACAGGAGAACAAGAATACTTGAGAAGAAAAAGATAGAGAAACTAAGGGAAGGAAGGAATGTAGCAGAAAAAATAAAAAGAAAAGCTGGGTATAGTGGCACATAACTTTAAATCCAGAGACTTGAGAGGTTGAGTCAGGAGAATTACCATTAGGTCAAGGCCAGCCAGGACCACATAGTGAACTCTAGGCCACCAGGTTAGCCAGAGCTATATGGCAGGACTCTGTATTATTCATGTCATTCTCAAAAAATAAAAGAAAGGAGACTAGCGAGTGGCTCCATGGGTAAAAAGGCTTGCCATGCAAGCCTGACAACCTGAGTCCAATCCCTGGAATCTATGGTGGAAGGAGAGACCTGATTGCCAAAAGTTGTATTGTGACCTCCACATATCCACCATGGGGTGGGGGTGGGGCTGCAGGCCTGCACTTGTCCCCTCACACCACCCAATAACAAAGAAAGAAAAAGTATGCTTTTTAAATTACTAAAAATTGAAAAGAATAAAATAAAGAAAAAAAAAGATACCTGGGAAGCAGAGGGAGAAGCATTCTAAAAGGTGAATATTTAAGTCCAAATAAGGACAAGGTCATAGGATGTACCGAGCAGAACATGAGCTGCCACACTGGCACACACCTGCAGCTCCAGCTACTTAGGGGTTAAGGAGGAAGGATTTCATAAGCCCAAGCATTCAAGACCAGCCTGGGCAGCAAAGCAAGATCCTGCCTCAACCAAGTAACAAAATGGGGGGAAAACAGCAAGAAACTGCAAAGGGCTAGTCACAGAGGAGGGAGACATCCAAGAATGGGAGATGACAAAGCCAAAACGGAAGTGCTCTAAGGAAGCATGGTCACACACGTGATACTGGGGTGTAGAGGAGAGGCCAGCAGCAGAGCTTTAGGGGAACACTGGGAACATAAGGCAGACAGCAATGAACTGGGAGGGTAGAAGGTGAGCAGATGGAAACCTTTAAACCACGATCGATGTGTCCTGCCTCACTCCCCCAACCACAAAGAGCATCAGGAGGCCCTGCCCTTCTGCCCAACACTTAATGCGGATCTGACATTCAAACCAGGCCATCGCTCTCCAAAGGCAAAAGGCTCACCCTTTTCTTCTTTAATTCGGCCTCCCGACTGGCATGATCATTGCCATGAACAAACTGGGGAGCGGACGATGGTCTGGATGCTACTTTCTTCCCATTCTGCCTTGCAGGCTGGTTACCAAGCAAGAAGAGGAAAATTAAACACAGTCAATGAATCCATGGAAAACACTTCACACCCAGAGGAGCAGGGGAATGTAGTCTGGGTGAGGGTTCTGCCCAGAAATCTGCTTGTCTAGCAAGGGCAAGACCCTTCTCCACTACCCAGGAAGGGCCTGATAGGAAAGCACTGTGGACATGGGTAGCCAGGATGGTTTCCCAAGGCAAAGGGAACCCTTTCCTGACAAATAGCTCCCAAAGTGAGGTCTTGGGACCCATAGCACCAAGACCTGAGAACTTGTCAAAAATACAAATTTGGCTGAGGGTGTGTGGCTCAGTGGTAGAGCACTTGCCTGGTATGCTCAAGGACCTGAATTTCATATTAAAATACACAGGGATGACAACAATCCCTAACAAGTAACCTAAGCACAAAGCAGTATATAGCTTTTGAAAGGAACTTCATATACGCAGGTGACTGCTGCAGCCATGAGGCGTGGGAGAAAAAGCCAAATGTGTTCATCCCAATGAGGTGCTTTGTCCAGAATCACCCAATAACTATTGACCTAACCCCATCAATGCACATACCTCACCTGAAGGTAAGGCCCACTTACCTTCTTACAGCCTTTGGAACCTTTACCTGGTTTTTTGTTTTCTGCAAAAAGAAAGAAAAGAGAAACAAGAGCTATCACTCACCTACCCAATATTTGTCAAGCTTTCTTGAATCAGAAGGCCAAGTCAACTAGGAAATGTAGCAGCCTTGGAAGCCATGCCTATTTAGATCCAGCATAACATAGAGCTATAGACAGCAAAGACAGTGCCAAGAGGAAGTAACTAGGCATAATACCTGGAGTATTATTTCAATGCAAACTCCTTAAAATACTAATGAAATTCTACTGAGTGACCCGAATGTGTGTTTGTTGCTACCTCTCCTCACCACTCCCAAAGTCCTGCTTAGGACACCTGTGAAGCACCTCTGGGAATATCTCTAGAGGTGTTTCCAGAGAGGCTGAAATGTGAGAGTTCCACACTGAATCAAAGGGGAAAAGACAGAAGGCAGGTGAGCACCAGCATTCATCTCTCTCTGCTTCCTAATCATGGTTGTAATGTAACCAGCTGCCTCCCCTCCATGGCTTCCCTGCCACAATGGAATGTAACCCCTCAAATAATGAGTCAAAATAAACCCTTCATTAGAGCATCGGTGACAACCACATTGATAGGCTAGAAGATCAAGGGAGGGAGCTTATCTGGAATAAAAATCCAAAGAAAAAAATTAGGAGGACAAAACTGGAAAATGTAGAAACTAACCTTCAAATAACTTTGCAAGATCTCGCTGCAAGGCATTTTCTTAATTAGTGATTGACAGGGAGGGCCCAGTCCATTATAGGCAGTGCCACCCCTGGGATCATGGTCCTGGGTCAGTAAGTTTGACAGAGAAGTCAAAACAGCTGACAGAGAAGCCAGGAAGGTTGACAGAAAAGCCAGGGCAGTTGACGGGTTGAGTATTTTTCATCAGAAGTGTCTCAGATTTTGATTTTTGAGTTTGGAATATTTACATATAAACAATGAGATATCCTGAGTGAAGAGCTAGGTGTGTGGCTCAGTTGATACAGCACTTGCACAAAGCCCTGGATTCTTTATCTAGCACCACAAAAAAAAAAAAACAGCTTGGTGGTACACATCTGTAATATCAGTACTCTGGAGGTAGAGGCAGGAGAACTAGAAACTCAAAGAACTCCTTGGCTGTGTAGTGAGTTCAAGACCTGTCTGGGCTACTCTTGGGGGAAGTGAGCCAAGTAAACTATGAAATTAATTTATGTTTCATAATTTACACACAAAAGCTAAAGTTAATTTTCAACAATTCTGTGCATGTCACAAAATTTCACAATATAGATTTTTTTACTTGAGACTTCATATGGGCATGTAACAAGTTTCAAGGCTAAAGCATTAGATTAGGATGTTTAATAAGTCCTGGGGAAAGGGACTGTGTCCCAAGCCAAGATTCTCTATCTTATCACTCTTACGTAAAAGTATTTCCTTTCTGGCAAAACTACTGTGAAAAAATAAAATTTATGGGCTACGATAGAAAATGTATTCAACATGTTCAAGGCCCAAGTGAGGTAGAGTAGGAAGAAGAGGAAAAGGGGAGTGGTAAGACACAAAAACCAAAATTAAATCAGAATAAAGGCTGCAAACTAAAACAAAATACGGTTAAACAGGGAATCAATTAAAACTTATTAATAGACATAAGAAAATTGGTGATGTAGCTGAGCACTTTAACTTAAAACCAAGAAAAATAACCTAAGGAACAAGCTCAGATCTATGACATCAATTTCAGCTAACTCCAAGAATCAAGAGATGGACACTGGAAAACCAAATGCATAAAATGTGCTACAAGTCTCACTCTGAATGGGTAGGATCAAAAAAGCTATTATTTTCTGGGCGGGTTGGCCCACACCTTTAATCCCAGCACTCGGAAGGCAGAGGCAGGCGGATCTCTGTGAGTTCGAAACCAGACTGGCCTACAAGAGCTAGTTCCAGGACAGCCTCCAAAGCCACAGAGAATCTCTGTCTCAACCTAAAAGCTATTATTTAACTTTGGTAACACAATAGAGAAAGACAAGTTACCAAACAGCAAAAAAAAAAAAAAAAAAAAAAAAAAAAAAAAAAAAGTGGGGACTAAGAGAAAACAGTAAATGTATAATGAGATGGTAGAAATTTGACCAGAATATAGTTGCCATAACAAATGTGAATGTATCAAAATTCCCTGGTTGGGGAGAGATGAGAACAGAATCTCATAATGTAGCCCAGGCTGGTCTTGAACTTGCAGAAATCTTCCTGCTTCAGCCTCCCAAGTGCTGGGAATGCAGGCATGAGCCACCGAGCGCAGCCAATTTCTCTATCTAAAAACAGCAAAATAAAACTCAAGTCTCCTTTATTTCCAAAGTAATTAGTTGCAACAAAAGGAATGTGATGGCTAGAATCAACTAGGTCTCAGTAATTTTACTCAACAATTTCCATCTCCCTAACTTCCGTGGTGACAGAGCCCTAACACTGATATAGGCATACAATGAAAGAAAAGACATCAATTCACAGGAAAGCATCTACTTCAAAAAGGAGCAGGAAGAGTGGGAACAGAAATGGGAGAAAGGGATCCAGCCAGCACTGCAACATTCAGGATCCTCTGGTCATTGGCGTTACTATAGTTCCTAAGGGAAAACATCTACCACGCATAGCTGGCAGGTCAGAGTTCTTCTGACTCAGCACCTACCTAGCTATAAAATTTTGAAAAACTGTTTTTGTTTTAGGAAGGTGAGTCATATGATTTTATCCAGACTGGTTTGAAACTCTGGCTCAATCAGTCCTCCTGCCTCAGTCTCCCCAGTAGCTGGAGCTACAGGACTAAAAACACCTAGGCCTAAAATCATATCAGTATCCAACACCCCTTAATTTACCTCTCATCTTCCATATGCTTGCCACACAAATGTCCCTGATATATGCACAGTTGCACTGGCTTCATCTGCCCCCTCCATCCTCTTCCCTGGCATCTAACTTACCTTGATGTCCTCTGGAATGCCTGTATTGAGGTGATTAGCACTCTCAGATGCCTTTAGCCTCTCCTCAGGAACAACTGACCAATCTTCTGCCCTCAGTATTGGCTCTTCCACCCACAAACCTTTACTTTTAAGACTTTTTCAAAAAATGGATGTTCTTTCTGGCACATTAATCTTAAAAGCAGAATGTACAGGAGATTTCCCTCAGACTCACCATTGTCAGAGTAGAACCATATGCCCCCTCTTGTTAAAAAAGGAAAAAAATGCAATAAAATCCCCACTGCTCTTCTAGAGTCCCTATCATTCTGCTGTGTTTGTCACTGAAGAGTCCCTTTTCCTCATTTATTGAAATGCACGGCTCCCACCTTTGCTTACCAAACAAGTTCAGTCACCATCCACTTGGAGGTCAGCAGGTAGCCCTTCCAATACCCTGTATTTCCCACTTCCTTGAGATCCTCACCTCTAAGGAGCTCCACTCCATATTAGCCACTCAACCATCCATTCAGTCGACTACACTGAAAAGGGCACCACCTACAGTGTCCTGGACTTCTGAAAGTAGTCTCAGACACCACTCCCATCTTCAAGTTTATGTGTCCAGTCTCCCAGATACACAAACCCTTTACTCATTCCTTATTCATCCAGCCACATCCTGTCCAGCTCCTTTCCCCTCCATTGCACCACCAGGAAACCTTCACTAGTGCTTATTAATCAACTGGCCAGTAAGCAGGCTGCTTCCAGACTATAAACCTCTGCCACCAATACTCACAATTACAAGCTTTTGGATTTGGGACTTTTGTGAGTTTTTGAGATAGGGTCTCACATTTTATCCCAGGCTGTCCTTGAACTCACAGCAATACTCCTGTTTCAGCATCCCAAGGGGTGGGATTACAGATATTAATCTCCACATCCAGCAAATAGTTAACTTTTTATTTTGCATGTAAGTGTGGGTGTAATACATGTATGTTTGCATGTACAGGACACATGTAGGTATGGAGGAACACGTGGCTGTGCAGGCCCAAAATTCACAACACATGACTTCTTCAATTGCTCTCACAGGATCTCTCAATTGAACCCAGAGCTCACTGATTTGGCTAGCTTTTCTTAACCAGCTTGCCCCTGGGGACAGCTATCTCTGCCTCCAGAGTACAGGGGTAACAAGAGGCTGCCATGCCTGCCCAGCTTTTATGTGGGTCCTGGGGATTTGAACTCTAGTCCTTATGCTTACAGGGAAGGCACTTTATCCAATAAGCCATGTCCTCAGACTAAATTTTTTTTGAGAAACATCTTGATATGCACCTCAGGTTGACCTAAAACTTGCAGAAATCCTGCTTTTATCTCCAGCATGCTGGGATTAGAAGTGAGAATCACCATGCCTGGTCACTGTAAACTTTAAATTATAAAACACAACCCCCTTTAAGTAACCATTCAAAACTGTTCAACTAAAATTATATGGGGGTAGAGCTCAGTTATAGAAAACTTACCTAGTAATACAAGGTCTTAGGTTTTGCTACCCAGCACCACAGAAAATGTACCTAAATATTCTGTAAGACTCATCCAGCAGGGTGTGGTGGCTCATGCCTGTAATCTCAGCCCTTGGGAAGAAGAGGTAGGAGAACTGCTCCAAGTTCCAGGCTATTTACATTGTGAGTTGGGGCTGCCTGGGCTATAGAGTGAAACCCTACTTCTATACAAACACTGAGAATGAAAAAATGAAGCTGGGCAGTGGTGGCACATGCCTTAAATCTCAGCAGCCAGGGCAACACAGAGAAAACCTGTCTCAAAAAAATGAGAGAGGAGAGGGACAAGTCCTGAGGGCTGAAAGAACAGCAATTCGTCCACACGGTCTGTTTTAGTTAAGAAAAACCCAACAGAGACTGGAGAGATGACTCAGCAATTAACATCACTGACTGCTCTTCTGGTTCAAGCCCAGCACCCACACAGCAGCTCACAACTGTCTGTAACTTGAGTTCCAGCAGATCCAATACATGCAGACAAAACACTAATGCACATAAAATAAAAATAAATAATTTTTTAAAAAAGAAAAACCTACCATTCAGAAATCAGGCAATGCTAAATTCCAAGGATCAATAGAGTCTGAATGCTGGCAGAGTGTTTTGAAACAAGATCTTGCTATACAATCTAAGCTGGCTGGAATCACTATGTACTTAAGATTGGCCTTGAACTTGCAACAATTCTAATTCTGTCTCCTGAGTGCTAGGAGTATAAGTATGTATGACCATGACCAATAAGACCAGGAAAATATACATTTGTTTTTTTTGAGACAAGGCTTCTCTGTGTAGCCCAGGCTGTCCTGGAACTATACACCAGGCTGGCCTAGAACTCAGAGATCTGCCTCTGATGAGATAGAAGGTATGTGCCATTATACCTAGTTGAAATTTTTTGTTTGTTTGTTTTGATTTGATTTTTCGAGACAGGGTTTCTCTGTGTAGCCTTGGCTGTCCTGTAACTCACAAAGATACGTATGCCTCTGCCTCCTGAGTGCTGGCATCAAAGGCGTGTGCTGTTTTTATTTCTTCTTTTTTTTTTTTTTGGTTGTTCGAGACAGGGTTTCTCTGTGGCTTTGGAGCCTGGCCTGGCACTCTGCTCTGTAGACCAGGCTGGCCTCGAACTCAGAGATCCGCCTGCCTCTGCCTCCCGAGTGTTGGGATTAAAGGCATGTGCCACCAACGCCAAGCCCTAGTTGAAAATTTTAACCCAATACTTTTTTATAATTTATTTACCTTTATTTTATGTGCACTGGTGTGAAGGTATCAGATCCCCTGGAACTGGAGTTATAGACAGTTGTGAGCTGCCATGTGGGTACTGGGAATTGAACCCAGGTCCTCTGAAAGAGCAGCCAGTACTCTTAATGGCTGAGTCATCTCTCCAGCCCTTTAGTGCAATACTTATAACACAGTTGGCTCTGCATATCTATGAGTGATACATCCATAGTCTCAATTAAAGGTGAAACAATTACTGTATCTAGGGGCCAGCAGGATGGCTCAGTGGGTAAAGGATCTTGCCACTAAGCTTGATGATTTGAGTTCGATCCCTGGGGCCCACACGGTGGAAGGAACTTACCCCTGAAAGTTGTCCTCTGACCTTCCCACATGTACCATGGCATGCACATGCACAAAAAGACATAAATAAATTAATGTAATTTTTTTTAAACAACTGTATCTGTACTTGGTATTATTTGTCATCATTTCCTAAACATTTCCTAAACAAGTCTAACAACCATTTACATATGATTTATACTCTATCATATTATGACAAGTAACCTAGAAATGTTTTAAAATACAGGGGAAGATATGTGTAGACTAGATGCAAATGCTATGCTGTTTTACAGAGGGACTTGAACATTTGCTGATTTTTTGTTATCTGATAGAGACCTTGAAAATAGTCTATGGAAACTGAAAAATGGTTGTACTTACAGAAATTGCTTACAAAGCACCACACACTGTTCTAACCATTTCATCTCTTTAAATTCATTAATTCTTCCTTATTCCAGATACTCAGGAGACTAAGATGAGAGGATGCCTTGTACCCAGCATTTGAGACCAGTCTGAGAACTATCCTAGGCAGTGGTGCCCATGCCTTTAATCCCAGCACTCAGGAGGCAGAGGCAGGTGGATCTCTGTGAGTTTGACGTCAGCCTGGTCCAGAGAGTGAGTTCCAGGTCAGCCAGGGCTATTACACAGAGAAACCCTGTCTTTAAAAAAAATCCTATCCTGATACCAGCAAGATAGTTCAGTGGATAAAAGGATGCTTGTCATCAAGCCTGACAATCTACATTCAATCCCCTTGGCTCACATAGCAGAGGGAGAGAACTGAATCCGCGTTATCTCTGACCTCCACACATGTGCTATGCCACACTAGTGCACATATACATACATACATACATACATACATACATACATACATACATACATACATCTGGGCAGTGGTGGTGGCGGCAGCGGCGGTGGTGGTGGTGGTGGTACACACCTTTAGTCCCAGCACTCGGGAGGCAGAGACAGGAGGATCTCTGTGAGTTCGAGACCAGCCTAGTCTACAAGAGCTAACTCCAGGACAGCCTCAAAAGCCACAGAGAAACCCTGTCTTGAAAAAGAACAGAAAAACAATACATACACACATACACACACATGCACAAGTGAATAGTTTTTAATCCTATCCTGAGCATGGTTTCATAAGCCTGTAACCCTAGGACTAAGAAAATGGAAACAGAAAAATTAGAAATTCAAGTTTGCTGGGTGGTGGCAGGGCACACCTTCAATCCCAGCAGGTGGATCTCTGAATTCAAGGCCAGCCTAGTCTATAAAGTGAGTTCCAGGACAGCCTGGGATGTTATACAGAGAAACCCTGTCTCAAAAAAAAAAAAAAAGAAGTTCAAGGTCATCCTCAACTATATAGTGAGTTTGAGGCCAGCTTGGTCTACATGAGGCATTCACTCAAAAAGCAATTCCTCTTGACAGGTGTGGTGCCTCCTGACACTTGTAATGTCAGCAATTTAGGGATGGAGTCAGGCAGAAAGATGACAAATTCAAAGCCAGCATAGGCTACCTAGAAAGACCTTAGGTCAAAATAAACAAAATCTTCAAAACAATATAATAGGTTGACATTATAATTAATGACCTGTGTTATAAAAAAGAAAAGTACAGTTAAGTGACTTGGCCAAGGCTACAAAGGTAATAAAAAAAAAAGATGAAATTGACAATGTGGCTCCAACATACAACCAGTACAACTTATGGTATCAACTGAAAGACAGGTTATAAAGACAGATGCTGGGGCCTAATATGCAGCATCATATAATATTTACTGCTGTTTACCTCAGATTCAGTCACTTAACATTGCTAAGCCTCCATTTTCTCACCTATAAAATGAGAATAGGGAGAAAGGAAGTACTACCTTACAAGAAATTATGAGAATACGAGAGGTACCGTATGTAAAGGACTCAGACTGAGACAGCAGGGACATACTGAGTAATTTTTAAGTTGTGAGCTGAGCATAGCAACACATCCCTACAACTCCAACACTTGAGAGGCTGACGTAGGATGATAAGGGAGTATAAAGCCACAATGGACTACTTAAAAAGCTTGAGGCTAGTCTCAAAGAAAAACCACATGTGGTACAACATGCCTGTAATTCAAGCACGTGGGAAGTACAGGCAGGAGGATCAAGAGTTCAAGACAAGCCAGGCGTTGGTGGCGCACGCCTTTAATCCCAGCACTCGGGAGGCAGAGCCAGGCGGATCTCTGTGAGTTCAAGGCCAGTCTGGTCTCCAGAGTAAGTGCCAGGATAGGCTCCAAAGCCACACAGAGAAACCCTGCCTCGAAAAACCAAAAAAAAGAAAAAAGAAAAAAAAAGAGTTCAAGACCAGCCTCAGTTAGACAGCAAGTTCAAGGCCAACCTCAAAATAGCAAAACAGCAAAGTTGTGAAATACTGAATGTACAGGATTGGGAGAGGGCAGCAGAGGCAACTCACTGTGTCTAAGCTTCATCATGATGATCAGACAAGCTTGAAAAGAGAGGTGTTCAAATCTGCCCACTTTCTTCCTGTTGGAATAAAGGCAGTAACTTAAAGACAGACCTAGGGAACACAAATCCTTTTAAGCCCTTTAAAGGCAAAATAAAATGTCACAGAACATGATCAGGAAGCCCTACCAATTGGGAAATTAGGAGGATGTGCTATAATGGACCTAGGGCCTATAGGGATGAGTACACGAAAGGAAAGGAGTATTGTGTCACTCAAAGAGAGAAGCAGATCAGAGCCTCTTTTCCTGAATGGAGTCCATGCCTCCAATACATTGAATGGGATACTTATAGTGCTAGTGCTAAACCCCTCCACACTGGGAAGAGCAGATGACTTGTTTTTTTCTTGAAGTGGAGGAACAGTATGTTTTCAAAGGGGGCTTCTGTGTGTCATTTATCCTTAGAAATCCCAGGAATATGTGGCTGGGGTCTACATTCTGGCAATAGAAAGGATTAGTCATTTGTCCCTCTATTCTTGGGTCACTGACTGAAGAAAACAACACAGTGGCTGTGTGTGTCTCTGCTACATGAGAGACCACTAGTCCAGGCACTTCTTAACTGTTGGAAAAGGTAGAGCCTAGGTCTCTTTACTTATCTGTCAATGAGGAGCAAGTCTACTATGCTTATTTCCTGTAGCTTTGAAGGAGTCGGGTCCACACACCTTTGCCTGATGGAGGCTATTCTGAATCCTTCCATAGGTAGTGGACTGGAATGGTGTGTGTAGATTTCATGTGGGTGAAAGTCAGCAGTATATATTAGTATTGAAGTGAGTAGGGCCTCTGGTTCTCTATATGGCTAAGAAATGGGAAGTCATAAGGCCATGCAATTATAAACTCAATGAATTTGCTCCTGCCTTGGGTAGTGTGCATCTATCATTTTACCCTAGGTGAGAAGAATCTACGTTCCTATACTTTAGATAAGGAGAGAGTTCAAATGGTAGGATAATCAGTGCTATCACTAGCTGTCGAGGCTAAATGGGGGGAGTGATCTGCATGTCTACTGCTCAAATGCCTCTTTCTTGGTCAATTTGGTGATTATAAGTCATTTGGAGGGTAGAGCCTGTGTCTACCTCAAAAGGGGGTAGAATAAATCTGAATCTCTCACCCTGAGGTCCCCTTGAGAGACACAACATCCTCTCAATGGACTAAAGTCTGTTCCCATGTACTGTGAGCCAGTTTGGGGTGGGCCCTTACAAAGTCAGTAAAACAGCCATTCTTCTTGGGTTAAGTAAGTATGGGGTCTAATTTTCCATAGCAAGGAGTCTTGGGGGGGGGAAATAAATCTGTGCGGTTGCCCATAGGTATAAGTCTCTAGCCATTTTGATATTCAGGCTGATTAGTTTACTCTGCAGGAGAAGGGTGGACACGGGAAAGGCAAGTCTCTACATCAGGAGCTCTCTTCCTCTAGTTATTACACGTTTCTGAGATCCTTTATACCAGTATTGAAGTGGACAAGGTGATGCCTCGATGAAGATCTGTGTCTTAATAAGCCAGAAGTCTGTACTGTTTAGCCTTATATTGGAAATTATTTTCTTATAGGGCAGGGATGATGTCATTCCCACCATTTGTTGGGTTGACACCTGTCTACAATTAGGCAATGCAAATATAAACGTAATAGATCTGCTCCTACATGGAAGGGGGCATCTGTCTATAGGAGAGTAATGGCAGTAATGCGAAATGACGCCAAATATCCTGAAAGGCGGAAGGCAACCGACATCTTGTCTCACACATAAGGTCTGTGCCTCTCTACATGTCCAGGGTGCATCTTTGTAGCCTCTCTGGGGCCGCCAGAATGCAGTTCAGCACATCTCCACACGTGGAGCTATCTGGATCCCTCTTCCGGGCCCTAGTTCTACCCCAGAAGCGAGCCAGCTGTTCACCTCTCTATTCCAGGATGATGAGCATCTCTGGTTTCACCTTCAATAAACGATCCCCACTGCACTGCTGGCTAGGTGAGAGCTCACCACGAAAAAAAGAGAGTAGTCTCATTCCTACACTTCCGGCAAGGACCGCCAAGAGCTGCTAGGAGCACAACGAAGCCGGACAGACAAGGACCACGCAGCTAGGCTCCGCCCGGACTTCCGGATCCAGCCCAGATAGTTGTTCCGCCTGCTTTGCGTAATGCGCGGGGGCGGAGTTTCGAGGTAACAGCTGCTCCGCACAGTCCCGCCCCGGCTCCCACGATGGCCCCGCCTCCTGGCGCCCGCGGGTAAAGAAATAGCGAAAAGGGGGCGATGGTGAGGGCGGGGTGTGGGGGCGGTGTGTGTGCGTGTGTATGTGTGTGTACGTGTACTCGTGTGGCTACAAAAGCTGTTTGTAAAACGAACTCTTTTGTGCGGCCTCCTGTCTAGGATTACGATACATGTTCGCCAGTCTTAGTCACCAAAGTAATCACTGGCGGCATTAGAAGAGGGTAGGGGGCAATCGTTTGTCCTCCTGGAAGATGGCGATGGCGACAAGCCGGGTGCGAGAAAATGGCTGCCGGGATCACGTGTCTTGTTTGGCTGAGTATTTTCCACCTGAAGTGAGTTAGCTGTTCTCAGCAGCCTTCCAATCTCACAGGACCCTGAAGCATAGCAAGGATCGCCCCCCCTCCCCCCGCCCCGGAGCAGGAAACGAAACTGTTGGGATTTTCATTAACCGGTTTACCCTCTCTTCTCCCTCATGTGTGATTTCTGTGTCTGCAGAAAATAAACATATCTATAAAGCGAGGGTAGGTAAGGATGTCTTTTAAAAGCGTTTCAATTGACTCCTAACTTGACTGGGCAGTGAGGTGTCCCTCAGAAAAAGTTAATTTAAATCTTTCCTGATCATTTAATTGCAGCCCTTTCTCCCTCCTCACACCTAAACCTTAGGGGTGGGGTTACGGTACTTAAGGAAAACACCCTGAAGGAGTGTTTCTTCACTTTCAACCCATCCCTGCAGAAAATAACCCCCTTTGCCCTCCTCCTTATAGGATTCACTGCTATCTTCTACCCTAGACACCAGATTCCTCTGGTTCCCCAAAGTAGTCACACCATTTGCAGGTTCTATTCTCTGAAGCCTGACTTCTGTCACTTAGATGAAGTTTCAATGCAATTGTTTTTATGACACGTTCCCTGACACCCAGTTGATTAAGAATCACAACAGTCCTTGCCTTTACCTATCTGGGATTTATCACAATACTACACTAGAGTAATTTTTATTAAAGTTTTTTATAGATTTGTGTGTTGAGTTTTTTGCCTTTATGTATGTATGTGCACCACATACATATCTGACGCCTGAGGAGATCAGAAAGCATTTGATCCCGTGAAGCTGGAATTACATATGGTTCTGAGCCACCATATGAATGTTTGCAATCGAACCCAGGTCCCTCAGAAAGAGCAAGAAGCGCTCCTAACCACTGAGCCATCTCTCCAGTCCCTATACTATAGTTCTTAATGTGATTTCATCATCACAGGAAAGAGGACTCCTCAGACCAGGGACAATTTGTCTTTGAACTCTCAAGGAGATCCAGTACAACACTAGCTTCAAGCAAATTCATTACATGAAATTAAGACCTGAACCACAAATCAATGGGGATTGGACAATTTAGTAGACAGCATTGGAAAAACTGGATCAGAACAAAGAGAAAAATAAATGCCAGGTATGTTAGTGCATACCTGTAATCCCAAAGACTGCAGAGTCTAAGGCAGGAGGACCAGGAATTCAAGATAAGCATGCTTTTCACAGCCAGAATGTCTTCAAACAGAAATTCTTGGTTTTGAGACAGAGTATCTAGTAGTCCAGGATGGCCTCGGAAACTGTGTAGCAAGGAAGACCTTGAACTCCTGATCCTTTTCCATGCACTTCTGAAGTAATAAGATTATAAACATGTACCACCACACTAAATTTAAATTTGTGCCTTGCAGTGCAACCCAATGCCTTTTGCATGCTAGGCAAGCACTCTGCCATCTGAACTGCATCATCACTTCAATCAAGTATCTTGAATGTCCCTAGGAAGAATGTGAAAGTACAAAGAATGTGCAGAGTACAGATGAAAGTAAGTTTATGATACCACAAAACCTGTACAGTAATACATGCTTCTCGGGCACATGAAAAACACAGAAATGTAAGGATAAAATTTGCAAAAAAAATCTCATTTTTTTTCCATTAGTAGTTCTCAAAATGTGGTACTTGAACTACCAGAGGACATGATCATTTAGGAACTTGTTGGAAATGCAAATTTGTGAGTCAAACCTAATTTTCTTAACTAAAATTCTGGCCATGGAGCCCTATAATTAATATTTTAATAAGCCAGCCCAATGACTCTGATGCTGGGCAAAATTAGAAAGCTATTTGTCTGGGCTGGTTGTTTTATTTTTTCTGGGGGGTTTGGTTGCTTGGTTTGGGGTTTCTGTCAACTTGACATAAGTTGAGGAAATGCCTCCACAAGATTGGCCTGTGTGTGAGGAGGTATTTCTTATTAGTGATTGGTGTGGGAGAGCCCAGCCCATTGTGAGTGGTGCCACCCCTGGACAGGTGATGCAGGGGTTGCTGAGGTGGGGATAATAAGAAAGCAGGCTGACCAAGCAAGCCATGGTGAACAAACCAGTAAGCAGCACTTGCTCCTCCATGGTCTATGCTGCAGCATCTGCTTCCAGGTTCCTGCCCTATCTGAGTTCCTGCCCTGACTTCCCTCAGTAATGGAATGTTACCTGAAAGTGTAACTGGAAATAAACCCTTTCAGTTTCCAAATTAGTTTTGGTTATGGTGTTTTATCAAAATAGAAACCCTAACTAGCCAGGCAGTGATGGCCCATGCCTTTAATCCCAGAAGTCGGGAGGCAGAGGCAGGTGGATCTCTGTGAGTTTGAGGCCAGTCTGGTCTATAGAGTGAGTTCCAGGACAACCAAGGCTACATAGAGAAACCCTGTCTTGAAACCTCATCTCCAAAAAACCCTAATAAGCTACTATTGGTATAAATTTAACTATTATTAATATTTTGTTGTATATCTTTGTCTCTAAAAATTATAAATAAAAATATGAATTATTTATTACAGGCCAAGCCATTGAAAATGTATAGCAAACCCACATATTTGCTATCCAGTTGAGAAGACAAAATATAAGAGAAAAAAATTAAACCTCCTGTGCATTTCTAGAAAAAACCAACATCCTGTATTTGTTCTCTCCTGATTTTTTAAAACGGTCTCACCATGTCTTGGTTAGGGCTACTATTACTGTGATGAAACACCATGACTAAAAGCAAGTTAGGGGAGGAAAGGGTTTATTTGGCTTACACTTCCATATCACGGTGTATCACTACTAATGTCAGGACAGGAACTCAAACAGGACAGGATACTGGAAGCAGGAGCTGTTGCAGAGGCCAGGGAGGGGTGCTGCTTACTGGCTTGCTCTCCATGGCTTGCTCAACTTGCTTTCTTATAGAACCCAGGACCACAGCTCAGGGATGGCATCACCCACAATGGACTGGGCCCTCCCCCATCAATCATTAATTAAGAAAATGACCTACAGCCTGATTTTATTTTATTTTATTTTATTGGTTTTTCAAGACAGTGTTTCTCTGTGTAGTTTTGATACCTGTCCTGGAACTTGCTATGTAGACCAGGCTGGCCTTGAACTTACAGAGATCTGCCTGCGTCTGCTTCCTGAGTGCTGGGGTTAAAGGTGTGCACCACCACTGCCCAGCCCTACAGTCTGATCTTAGGGAGGCTTTTTCTTTTCTTTTTGTTTTTTGTTTTAGGTTTTGTTTTTGGCATTTGTTTTTTTTGAGACAGGGTTTAGTAGTCCTTGCTCTCCTGGAATTCTCTCTGTAGACCAGGTTGACCTAGAACTCAGAGATCAGTCTGCCTCCGCCTCTCAAGTACTAGGGTTAAAGAGTGTTAGGTTAAAGACATGTGCCACCACACCCGGATTGAGGCATTCTCTTAATTGAGGTTCCCTCCTCTTAGATAGATGACTTCAGCTTATGTTAAGTTGACATAAACTAGCCACCACATACTATGTTGCCCAGGCTGGCCTCTTGCTTTGATCACTCTTGACTCAGCCTTTTGAGTGCTGGGATTGCAGGTAGATGATATTATGCCTGGCTGGTGGCTCTCCTTTAAAGATATTGCTTCTATATCTGTGTGTGTGTGTGTGTGTGTGTGTGTGTGTGTGTGTGTGTGTGTGTGTGTGTGCGCGCGCGCGCGCATATATATAACATGTTATAATGTTTTCTAGATTTTTACAATATACACTGAGGCACAAAGATTGCCATGAGTTTAAGAATAGCTTTTAGTTTGTTCCAGACCAGCCTGTGCTACAGTAAGACCTTGTTTCCAAACCAGTTCTCATATTTCATATATTCTTTTACAACTTGTACTTTTTAATTTTATTATTTTGATTGTTTTGGTTTTTCAAGACAGGGTTTATCTATGTAACAACCCTGGCTGTCCCATAACTCACTTTGTAAACCAGACTAGCCTCGAACTCACAGAGATCCACCTGCCTCCACCTCCTGAGTACTGGGATCAAAGGTATGCACCACCAGTACCCAGGTTACTTTAATGTTTTTAATTGAAATACAATTATATCACATTCCCCCTTCCTTTCCTCCCTCCAGCCCCTCTCAGCTACCTTGCCTCAAAACTGTTCCATTTTCCCCCACTTTCAAGTTGAGAGCCTCTTTTTCTTTGATAATTACTGTTGTATGTATGTATGTATGTATGTATGTATGTATGTATGTATGTATGTATAAATATAGTCAGCAGAGTCCATTTTTATTGTTTGTGTGTATAGGGTTTCAGGGCTGACCACTGTGCGTTGGACAACCAGTGAGAGGGCTCTACCCTGGGAGAGACTAATTTTTCTCCCAGCAGTCATTAGTGGCCTACAGTTCTTTGTCTAGGGTGGGACCCTGAGAAATTTCCCCCCTTCCATGTTAACATGTCCATTTATGAATTCCCGTTGTTCTGGTCTTGTTTATGCAGCCATTTCTAGGAGAGACCATCCGTCTCATAGCAGACTTCCTGGTATTCTGGCTCTCACAAACTTTCTCCCCCTCTTCTGCAATGTTCCTTGAACCATAGATGCTGGAGCTGTATATCTATTGAATCTAGGTTCTCCTTGATCTGTTGATCTCTGCATTGTGCCCAGCTGTGGTTTTCTGTGATGGTCTCCATTTGCGGTGGAGAGAGGCTTTCTTTGATAAGGGGTGGTGGCTACACTTATCTGTGGCTTTAGGATAGGATTTAAGATGTATTAAGGAATTATGGTGGTCTAGCAAGGTAGCAGTAGTAGATTCTCTTCTAAGATCCATGACCTCACTAGACTGGGATGCTGGCTGTATTCCAGTACCATGCATGATTTCCCTCCTATTGAGTGGGCCTGAAGTCCAATTAGACAGCTGTTGGTTGCCACCAACATTTGAGTGCCACTTATGCATATCTTGCCTTGCTGTTAAGTGTGATACATACAATGAAAGCTATTCAGCTGTAAAGAAAAATGAAGTCATGACATTTTCAGGTAAATGGAAAGATGTAGAAAAGATTATGTTTCATGAAGTGGCATAGACCTGGACAAATGCCATATATTTTTTTCTCACCATTGCTTTCTAGCTCCAAAGCCTGAGATGTATACAACATGGAGTAATACAGAAACCAAGAAAATATAAAAGGACCATAGGTAGGGGTGGAGGTGGGGCTTGTGATGGGAAAAGCAGGAAGCAGGTGATACAAAGTGAGGAAAGGAAAAAGGGGAAGGGACTGCAACTGAGGAGGGAAGAGGGAAGTCAATACAGGAGAGGAAGGACAATGGACAATAAATACCGAGGTTATTTGATAAAGCATCCAGGAGTCATTATTTTATACTTACCTAAAATTACATATACATATACATATACATATACATATACATATACATATACATATACATTGTATGATATTTATTATATCTTAAAGGAAGTTAAGCCATTAAGCTGACAATGCTCCCCACAAAAACCATAGACTAACAAAACCTCAGTGCCAGGCACATGAAACCTACTTTCAAATTATTGGCCAGGGTAGTGAGTCTGAAAACAATATAGAGTGATGATGTTGCTCTGGATCGCCTCTCAGAGCCTGAGGCTAAGCCCCTATTGCTGAAGATACTGTACACTTAGGACACACTCATATGATTCAAGCTGGGTCTGACCTGAAAGCCTCTTTCCCATGAACTATGTAGCTTCCATGCTTCCAGAAAATACTAAACAAGCTACCAAGAGAGGGAAGCAATTAAACAGCTCTGCCCAGCTGCAACACCTATGAGCCACTATAATTACCAGTATTTTCAATTGTATTTATTTTATTTTTTGTGTTTAGGTGTTTTTCTTTTTGCTGGGGGGGTTGTTGAGACAGGGTTTCTCTGTGTAACAGCCTGGCTGTCCTGGAACTTGCTCTGTAGACCCCCAAACTCACAGAGAGCTCCTTGCCTCTGCCTCTTGAGTGCTGGAATTAAAGGCATGTGCCACCACCACCTGGCGTGAACTCCTGATTCTTCTGCTTCTACCTCCTAACTACTGGAATTCCACACATGACTCAGCATGCCCAGTTGTTGTTTTGAATATACTGATAGTTTTGAAGAATCCAGACTACGTGTCTTACAGAATGTCCCAAGTTCCCATGTTCCTTTTCTATGTGATTATATTAAGATTAAATATCTTCAGCAAGATAGTACATAGTAGCATATAGGGAATATCCTTTGCATCTAACTGCTGTTGGCAACTACAATGAGGCTTCATTGCATTTTCTTTGCAGATTTAGTTTGGAAATTTTATTTTTAAAGTAATTCCCTTGTAGGTTGCAAAGGTATTTCCCCTTTTTTCCTGTTAACATGGTCTTAATGGTTACATTTCTATTTCTATGTATGTAGGATCCACATTTTTGTTTTGAGACAAGGTCTCACTATGTACTGTCCAGAGTGGCCTGGAACTCACAGAGATCCACCTGCCTCTACCTATCGTGTCCTGGGATTAAAAGCCTGTGGCACCTTGCCACTCTTATAAGTAGTAATAGGTAGGGATGCAATTTTCTTCCTTTTCATGTAATGATCCAGATTTCCTACCATCAAATACAAAATAATTTATCCTTTTTTCCATTAACTTGCCATACCACATTTATCATTCATATATACATATATGTATGTGTGTATTATATATGTGTGCATATATATGTTTATGTATATGCATTCATATATATTATGACACATATAGAGGTCTATGTTGTACTAATGTCACTTTGATTTTAAAGTTTTGTAGTGTAACTTAGTTTCTGATAGTATAGTTCCTTCTCTTTAGTCACTTTTAAGATGATTTTATATATTGGCAAATAAATTTCAAAACTCCAGTGGGGATTTTTAAGGGAGTTTTGCTGAATTTATGGATTATTTAAGAGGACTGAAGGCTGGAGAAAGGACTCAGTTGGTTGCTATGTAAGTATAAAGACCTGAGTCTGGATCCCTAGCTATATCTATAACCCCTCTAGGGATCACTGGCCAGTCAGTCTAACTGACTCTGTGAGCTCCAGATTCAGTGGAAGACCCTGACTCAAAAAATAAGGTGGGAGCCAGGCAGTGGTGACACACACCTTTAATCCCGGCACTTGGGAGGCAGAGACAGGCAGATCTCTGTGAGTTCAAGGACACCATGGTCTACAGAGAGTTCCAGAACAAAATAAAAAAAATAAGTTGGGGAGTAATTCAGA